CGCCGCCGATGGTGCTGGCACGACGGCGTGGATGTGCAAGCATTGCGTCGCTGCACTGCGGGAACTCGGCGGCCCCCCCGAACGACGCCGTCCCCGCGTTCGCGCGCCTCCCGCCGCGCTGATCAACGGCATGTGGCGCGGACGTGACCCGCGTGAAGTCGACGACTTGACGTGCGCGGAGGGGAAGGTCGTGAACCTCGCCAAAATATATGTCAGCGTGAAGCGGGTGTTCCTGGACAAGAGGTCCTACGCTCCCGCGGCTACATCCACGGCGCCGACGTGCCGCCAGGGAAACGTCGTAGCCTACCCGCAGAGCCCTGACGCTGCGCTGACGGCTCTGGGCATGCTGCCAGCCGCGCTGGCCCAGACCATGCTGGTGCAGTTCGTAGGCGCCGTAACCGACGATCTCCGTCGACACCCCGAACTGCAAGTGTCGGTGAGGCGCCTGCGCGACGCATTTCGATGGCTCTCCTCGAACAACTGGGCATTCATGCTCGCCACCAGGCACCGCGACGCTTGGCGCGACGGTACTTTGCACGCTGTGTTCGAAAACCTCTTGGACGCTTACAAGACAAGTATTGGGAACACCGAAGGCGTTCCAAGGGGGGTGCTCGCTGCGGCGACACCGGCATCTGCGGCGAAAGCCTCCGTGGCCTCAGAGGGGCCTGCTGATTGCGGAGATGGCACCGATCCCGTTCACGACCAGAGTGATGTGCGCGAGGACACTAGTGCAGCAGTGGTGAATGGTGGCATGGACGACGTTACGTCATTGCGACTCTGGACGCAAGTCGTGGAGAACTTCGAAGTGGCACAGCGCCTCCACGACGAGATCAGCAAGCTTTCCAGCGACACGGACCCGTCCGCACGCGCCCACAAGAAGATGCGGCACAACGAGGCACTCGCCCAAGCCGTTGACACCATGCAGCGGATGTCCAGCGCCCATGTCCGAAAGGAATTGGAAAAGTGGGCCGCGGGAGAGAAGTCCGAGATGCCGCCGGTGAAAATCACTCACGGCGATCAGTTCGTGTCATCCCGGACGGAAGCGTTCTGGGGCGCTTGCTTCGTCCGCCTTTTCCCGCGCGGGGGCTGTCAGGAGACGTGCCCGCGGAGAACGACTCGCCTTCCTTCTGCCCAATGGGCGAAGGCTTTGCTCACTCGGGCCGATACGACGTGCTGGCGGCGAGACGTGGAATTCGTAGCCACCGTTTTCAACGCGTTCCTGCGGCGGGACCAGATGGCCAACGTGGAGGCCCACGTCAAATCCACAGGCCACGGTGGGGTCACTGGCATGACGGCAGACGAAGCCCAGGCACTCACGAAGCTCACGGCCGAAGGCTTCGTTTCTTCTGCCGCCGCAGCAGGCGACGCCACCAGCGTCCGCGAGCTTCTCAGAGAAAAAGGTCTCGATCCTGTCGTCCGGAACGCCGCCCAGAGGATGAACCTCGTGCTCCGACGCGTCCGGGGCTCCGCCGAAGAACGGGACGGATTCATATGGCGATTTCGAGCTCTGCGCGTCTGGTCTGGGTGCTCATCCTTATTTTTCACACTGAACCCACGCGACATTCGGAGCCCCCTGACCGTCCTTCTGACGCAAGGCGACCTTACCGTTGCCCGTGAGTTCTCTCTTGACATGAGCGAGACTGAGGCCGCAGAATGGATGGCCGATTTCAACCAGGCGGACCCGCGAGCCTTGCGCGCCCTCGTGTCGCAGGACCCGCTCATCGCCGCGCGTGTCTTCCACTGGACAGTACGCCTCGTCATGCGCACTTTATTTAATTGTACTGACACCCCCGACAACCTCCACTGCGATGGCATCGCTGCGAACACTTTGCCGGGCATCTTTGGCCACGTCAGGGCGTACTTGGGCGTCGTGGAAGAACAAATGCGCAAAGCTCTTCACGTCCACATGCTCATTCAATGCAATTGCCTTCGGCACTCCCGCCTCCCCCCTCCTCCTCTCCCGCGCCCCCCAGGAAGTCGACTTACTCACGTCTCGGCATCCGGGCGCCCAGGGGCATTCCGTCGTTGGTCTATGAAAACGTCGGAACGGGGACCTCCCAGGCGCCTTGGCACGCCCGATCGTCATCCACAGGACCAGCTTTTTCGGTGGAAGCCGTAGATCTGCGGATACGGGTCTCGCCTTCCAGTGCGCGGCCCTGTCATGTGCTCCCCGGGCCCGCGGTTCCGCCGCGCGCGCCGAACCTGGCGCCGCACCCCCTTGGCCAGAGTAAAGCTCCCGTGTAAGTCGGCATGCCCGTGCCGACAATGTTGCGCGCTCCCCGCGCGCTATAGCCGCCAGAGCGCGGCGGCGGATTGCTCGGATTCTCGCACCCAGACGACCTGTTTCGAAACGGCGACTTGCAGACCACGTTCAAGCGGACTTGGCACTACGTGGCTTCCATCACTTTCCGCAGCACGGAGGCCTTCGCACACTACACGGGTTCACCGCTTGGGATGGATGCTTTGCGGCGGTTGCCTTTATTGCCGCTGACCAAGTCGCAGCGGGACAAAATTGGAAGTGTCCGTGCAGCTGCCAGCAACACCGCCCAGCAGCAAAGTCGAGGAGCTGTCGAACCAACTGCGTGCATTGGCGACGTCCCAGATTTTGCGTTCTTCCCAGCGTCGTTCTCGTCCGACTCCAGCGTTGACAATGGGCAATGGGCTGCACGCGCTGTCCAAGAGGTTTTCTCTCGGACACGCAAGACAGGCAACCACGTATGCAAACCCGCAGTGTGCTACAAAGGACGCATTGGGAAAAAAGGGTTCTGTCGTATGCATTACTGGCACTGGGCTCGGCACTGCGACGAGAAGAGTGGCAGAGAGGTCGCCAAACGGCAGCATGGCTTGGAACTCCACGCTCGCTGGGATGGTCAGGGCCCGCCGCCCATTCTGCGGTGCCCGCCGCGCGTCGGCTTGCCCGCCCTAGAAACGAACCACCCCTTCCACTTCCGGCTCAACCCCGCTATCATGCTGGGACCTCAGTGCAATCATGACCTGGCCGTCCTGTTACGCCTCTGCGACTTGCCCTCGACCGGGAACGGGCCTCCAGACGAATGCAAGGTACATGAGATAAAGACTGCTATGGCGGAGGCCATGGGTGACCACGAGTACTACACCTCGGCATACTCATCGAAAGCGCAGCCGCACGCGGATGGACTGAAGCTGACGCTAGCCGCTTCCCTGGAGAGGAAGGAACGCGCCGCGCGCGCAGCAAGCACTTCAGCGGAGGTGGACGAGCATGAGAAAGCCAGGAAGTTGTTGCATGCACTGGTTGCCGCGACGAACAACAGAATGCACAAAGGGTTCCCCGAAATGATCAGCTACTTGCTGGGGAAACCGATCGTGTACAGTAGCCATACCTTCGTCCCCGTGTTCTTCGGCAAGCTATATGCTGGCATCCGCAGCGTGTTGTGCGCCGCATCACGTGGCGACGACATCCACGCAGACGCGAAACGTGCCCGACCTTACACTGCGCCAAGTACCTCGACCAGGAACTTCCTCGACGAGTTCGATTACGCGCGCAGGCCGGATGAGATGGAGCACTTCCCGCTGCACTTTTTCTTTGCTGCTTGCGATGCAAAGGCGTCAGTTCAGAAGAAGCCGCCGCCAGGCTCGCTGCAATGGCGCGAAGACGGCGCCCATCGCCAGAGGACAGCCACAGCCGTGGTAAGTGCCACCTATGACAAAGTTCCGCTCCGGGGCCACCCTACGTCTGCCGAACCACACGGACCGATCTTGTATCAGTACGCGTACTACGCCTCCGTGCGCCTGCATAAGCCGTGGAAGGTGCCGATCCTCTACGGCAAACTACCAGGCAGACCGCAGAGCGCAGATCTGTTGGAATAATGGTTCCTCTACGTCGTGCACATCATGATCCTCTTCCGACCGTTCCGAACTTTCCACGACTTCGTCCATCGCGCTGCGCAGCTCCCGTGGATCCACGGCGAGGAGGAGTTCCAGAAAGCGGTCGTCAACGAATTCCACAAGTGGGAGACGTCGCGGCGAGAAGCCGCCATGCAGTGCACCTCTACCACGCAACCATTGTCCAACGCTTGGTGGGCGCGCAGGGTGGAGGAGACTATTCGGAACTACGACTTCGCTTCCTCCAGGAGAGAGACAGTCAGAGATGCCTGCCCTTCGAGCGTCCAGATGCCACACCTGCCACAGTGGGCGAGCGCCGCCGCCAGCAACGCCGACGCTGCGACGCACGACCCACCTATTCATCACGCTTCGCGTATCCCGAACCAGCTCATGCAAAAACCCTGGCCAAGAGAGCTGGCCAGAGTACCGATGCAGTAACACAATGTGCTGGCCTCCGGCCAGTGCAGCCGATCCGGAGCGCTCCGGATGCGTGTGGTGAAGGACGACGACCAAGACGACTATGATGACGACGACCACTACGACGACGTAGACGGACGGCCAGTGATGGGCGACCAATCGCAGCGTGTTGGAAGCAGCTTGGAGGCAGTTTGTGGGTTTCTTGTGAGGCATCGTGGAGGCCTCTTGCAGCCATCTTGGAACAAGCTTTTGAACCTCTTGGGAAGCTTTTGGATGCTTCCTGAGAGACACTTGAAGCCTCTTCGGGCCTTCGAAGGCCTTTTGAGGCCATCTTGGAAGCTCCTAAGGGCCTCTTGGGCCTTCTTGAGCCTGCCTTTTCTTGAGCCCTCTCCGAATGGGAAGACGAGATTGACAGAGGAAGCGCTCTCGACCACCTCCGCCCATTGGGCTGGTCGGATCCTGATGGAATCTGACGACGACGACAACGGCAATCCAGCCGACGTACCCATGGACGACGAGGAAGCCACGGATGATCTGCCTCGCCGACCATTCCGCGCGCAAGATCCTACGAGTGTGCTCTGCGGCAGTTTCCCTGAAGGCATCGAAATGGACGACGTCATCGCCCCGGAAACGTGGCAGAAAAGCAAGGCAGCAGAGGCCAAATACATCGCCGAATTCATGCGGGACAACTCGGACCGACTGCGCGCTGCGGAGCGGCCGCCAGATTGTACTGTGGCCAGCGACGCAACTTGCATGCGCCCCGCCGCGTCGCTGGCAGCGGCAGACCGGCAATCAGAGTTTTTCAAGATGGTGGACGCTTGGAAAGCAGACTCTCACTTTCATCGACACAAGTCCCCGCAGCCAGCACCCGATGCACTTGAGAGACGACTTCGCGCTGCAATGGCTACCGGCGACGCGTCGACGTTCCCCCCTGTACCTCCGCGCACGAGGACGGCAGTGGTCGACGCGTGCCTACACCTTCTGCATAATGGAGTCTTGGATGTAGTGGACATGGAGCGCGTGAACGTCAAACAGGCCCGCGCTTTGCTCTGGAACGCGGCATGGCTACAAGATGTCATGAACCGCAGGTGGGGCTTCGATGAGCCCACGGGCCCAACGGCAACTGGACGCCCTTCACTCGCCGATGGTTTTCAGTTGGCTCTTATGGGTCCAGGCGGTACTGGGAAGACGGCGGTGCTGAGAGTCGTGGAAGCGGTGATCTGCTACTTCAACGGACCCGACGCGGTTCAGAAGTGCGCGCCGTCGAACTCCGCCGCGAGGCTTCTCAAGGGTGACACGCTGCACGCTCTCTGCAAGCTGCCGTTCGGCAACGTCACCGTGACGGGCAAGAAGGGCCGCTTGACCCGATCTGTCTTAGAACAGCATCGAGATCGATGGGAGTGTGCTCTCGCGTGCTTCATCGACGAGGTGTCCATGGTTGCTGCGGCGCAACTCTTCCAGTCGGAGGTCCGATTGACAGCCGCGAAGAATTCCGCTCAGGCATGGGGCGGCTTGGGAATGACGTTGTCCGGAGACTTCATGCAGCTCCCGCCAGTAGACCCGACGGGGGACAGCAGGAGCCTCGCCACAGACCCAGACGAAGTCGACGTCCTCAATGAAAAAGGCCCAGACGCCACAACGAAGGACGCAGACAAGAAGAGGTCCAAGCACGTGGAAACAGTGCAGGGGCTTCAACTCTGGCGGAGAGTGCGACGGGTTGTGACGCTAGACATTAACGTCCGGGCCCCTGGCCCTCTCAGTCAGCTGCTTGGAGAGATGCGTGCTGGCCACATTTCTGACGAGATGTGGGCCTTATACACCAATCGCATTCTGTCTTCCAACGACACTCGACCGCTGGACCCGGCGTCTCCATTTGCAATGCTCCCGTGGACGTACATCGTGCACAGACACAAGATTCGAGCTTATCGGTCCATGCAAAATGCGCGACAGCAGGCTTTGCGCACGGGGCAGCGCGTGTACGTCGTCCAAGCCAGGGACGAGCCAGTTCACCCAGGGGACTCTCGGAAAATGACAAGCGACGTCCGCCGGGCACTCCTTCAGAAAGTAAGCCCGAAAGACACGCAGGACCTGCCCAGCTTGCTGCCCCTCTACGTCGGCATGCGCCTGACCATGTATTCGAAGGATTGCGTGCGATTGGGACTGATGAAGGGCTGCGTGTGCACGCTTCGACATATCGTCTTCGCCGACGGCGAGAGTTTCCCCGCGGACTCCCTGGGCGACAATGTTGTGCACCTGCAGTACATGCCGATCACGTTATGGTTGCAAGCGGGCGGCGCTGAGTGGACGCTTCCAGCGTCAGACTTGCCCGCAGACTTGCCAACGTGCACTGACAGACAGGGGCTCTTCCAGATGCGGCCCACCTACGGATACCTCCGCGCCGCGTGGGAAGAGGAGAACTTTTCTGTCCGCCGGACAACGTACCGGTTACTTCCAGCGGATACCATTATAGTGTACGGCGCCCAAGGATCTGCACCCTCGGAATGGGGACGGAACTTTGGCCACAATGCCGAACAGTAATGCCTGCTCACGCAAAACAATAGTTGTTGTGCGCTGGGGCCCACCGGACACCACTCTTTGTCGTTCGGACAACAGTTGCTGTCCTTCTGACAGAAGTTCTAGTCCGGCGAACCACTGCTGCCGCAATCCTCTAGCCCGCGTGCAAAGGCACTGTTGTTCGGCATTGTACCCAAAGAACCGTCCCCCACTACGGGCGTGCAACAAGGTGGCACGTACCCAGCAGTGGTGGCCGACATGAAAAAGCCACCGTCGATGGACGCCGACACGCACTGGCTCGCTTGCTACGTCATGCTGTCGCGGCCCGTCTCCGTGGAAGGCTTACTCATCTTGCGCCCAGCCACGAGGCGGGAATTGTCCCGACCGCCTCCGAAATCCATCCTCGACGAAATTACCCGCCTTGCTGACATGGAGACGGCGTCGCTGGACGAATTGATTCAGATCCTGCAAGATCTGAAGGGAGAACCGTTCCCGCCTGAGATCTTGGATTCAGTTCTTGCTCGGGACGGCGCCGCCCGGCAGTCCGCCGAGGTAGCCGAATATCGGAGAGCCGGGCCAGCGCTCCGCACAGTTTCTCGGCGCACGCGCGGCAAAACGACGCCACCTGCGCCCCTGTCGAGAGTTGGAGACACGGCGGGCGTGGGCGAGGATGCTGCAGTGCAGGCGACGCCACCGTCCTCGGCGCCCCCGCTGAAGAAGCCGCGGCTGCCAAACATGGAGACGGCGCGCGCGTCGACGCCGCCCACGGTGAACGCCTCCGAGTCGGAAAGAGCAATCTGTGCGGCCGTTGGCCGCCAGTGCGCCGCCGGCGCGGGCGCGGCCCCCGCGGGGGGCACGGGCCCGCAGCCGCCCCAAGCGGCACAGCGCACCGCTGCAGCGCAGCGGAGGACGGCCCCGCTGGGAGAGCAGAGCGCCACAGCGTGCAAGCCAGACGCACACGCGGCAAGCAGCCCAAACAGTGCCGCTAACGCGAGGGAAGGTGCCGCAGATA